TTCTAGGTTCTGGTCCCTCTGGGTTCTGGTCCCTCTGGGTTCTGGTCCTTCTAGGTTCTGGTCCCTCTGGGTTCTGGTCCCTCTGGGTTCTGGTCCTTTTAGGTTCTGGTCCCTCTAGTTTCTGGTCCTTCTGGGTTCTGGTCCTTCTAGGTTCTGGTCCTTCTAGGTTCTGGTCCTTCTAGGTTCTGGTCCCTCTGAATTCTGGTCCCTCTGGGTTCTGGTCTCTCTGGGTTCTGGTCCTTCTAGGTTCTGGTCCCTCTGGGTTCTGGTCCCTCTGGGTTCTGGTCCTTCAAGGTTCTGGTTCTTCTAGGTTCTGGTCTCTCTGGGTTCTGGTCGTTCTAGGTTCTGGTCCTTCTAGGTTCTGGTCCCTCTGGGTTCTGGTCCCTCTGGGTTCTGGTCCTTCTAGGTTCTGGTCCCTCTGGGTTCTGGTCTCTCTGGGTTCTGGTCCTTCTAGGTTCTGGTCTCTCTGGGTTCTGGTCCTTCTAGGTTCTGGTCTCTCTGGGTTCTGGTCTCTCTAGGTTCTGGTCCCTCTGGGTTCTGGTCCCTTCTGGATCAGCAGACCAGGACCCAGCCTATAAAGCTGCTGAACTGAATAATTGTGGCCCGGTTCGATGGTCCAATAGCTGATGAGGAACCAGGTTCTAAAGGTTCTGCTCCATCCAGAACTTCTGCTGGTTCTGAAGGATCAATAGTTTTAGACGATAAACTGGTAGAACCGGCGGTTCTGGTTCTGGTTCTGTCTTTGAAACATCTTTGTTTTCTGACTCTGGTTCCTGGTTCTGGAACCGGTCCTGACCCGGTTTCTCTCAGTGAAGGTCCAGTTGCTCCTGGTTCAGCCTTGGTTCTGTTGGACCTCATGATACCCAGAACTCCAAGTCTGCAGGTGGGTTCTGGGTCAGGAAGGTCCGGGTCACATTCCTTCACTTCCTGTTCCCACCCCGTGGTTCTGGGCTACTTTGGACCAGAACCTGCTGCAGCCTGAGGCGCTGCAGCTGCGGGTCGGTTCTGAAGCAGTCTGTGGGTCGGACATGCTGCATAGTTCAGCGTGTCCTGGCAGGCCGGGCGGCGCCGCATCGGGCCGGGCGGCGCCGCATCGGGCCGGGCGGCGTCGGGCCTGTCAGGACGCCTCTGGAATGAAGAGCTAGCTGATTGGTTCTGCTGTTTAGCCCGGAAAATGTTCTGGTACCAAAGCAGAGACAAAGTTCTTCAGAACCTCTGCTTACTTTGAGCTGCTGGACACATTTAACCAGTTATGGTTCTGACCCGGTTTGCAGGTGGACCAGAACTCAGCGTCCAGATCAGTCTATGTTGCTATGGCAACTTGATCTGCAGCAAAAATGTCCTGAGAGAAGATTT